AAGCCTTTAAAATTTATTTTTAACTTACAAAAATTAGGAAAAATATTTTATTTAGTCCTAAGTGATCAGAGGACAATTAGGCACATTTTGAAATATTTTTATATTTTTGAAATTGTTAATTTTTCTTCATTAATTTAAATCCAAAATATGGCTTAAAAATCAAGTATTTTTCCAAAAATAATTTTTATTTTTCCCAAGTGCCTCTAATCATAAGGAACTAAGAAAAATACTTTTCATAATTTTTTCTAAGTGTATTTAATTTATTACAATTATCTTTGTACAAAAATACAAGATTTCTTAAAAAATACATATTAGTGCTTAAATCAAGCCAAGTAATTTTCAATTTTTTACAGTGGATTGATATGACAATTATGAACAATGTGGAGTTGATTTTGTTAATTTTTAATATATATTTAATTTAAACAAAATAATACAAGGTATTCACATTTAACTAAGTATATAGATTCACTAAATGATTCAAAGCATCACAATATTTTTCGTAGATTTCTCTGACCACAGAAAACCTACTAAAATTGTTCTCATAATTTTTCAAGTGATGTTTTGATTTATATAATTAAAATAAGCAAAAATGGTCACTTTAGCTTGAAAATTAGGGTTAGAAGCATAGAGATGCCCCTTGACCTTGGAAAAATCAGACGATATAGCCTCTATCATGTAGAACAAATTCTCAAAATTTCAAGCAATGGTGAAATGTTTTAACCCATGGAGATCTAAAATACTACCAAGGGTATTTAATTAATTAAAAATCAGAGAGTGAGAAATGTGAGAAAATAATTTTATTTTTTGTCCACATTATTCTCATCTGTTCACTAAGCAAGAGGGTATTTTTTTATTTTTATGATTTTTCTTGAGAAAGATATAGATTTTTGATGTTTAGGCTTTTAAAATAATTCAAAAATCCCTATTTTTCTACTTATCCACACGGCACTGACTGGATCTCAGGCAGCTCTGAAGGATCCACGCGTCGCTCCTCCATTTGACGTCGCCAGCCATGTAACCGCCACACTGACCGTCCTTTATGCACCATGGATCTATTAGGCTTGATGTCCTCCGTCCACTGGATACACGCGTGATCGGACGGCTCTCCGTTATCGTCCCCAAGTGACCTAACCCGTGAGCCGTTCACACTAAAACCTTAACATCTTAGCCTAAATCCAACAAAATTGCTTGGGGTTTGTTCCTAAACCTTCATCTGCTGAAGATGAACACATCTATATAGATTATACGGTATGAAATACAGTAAATACGTATGGAGGGTCGAAATAAGCTCGATTTAGGGTTAGAGTTCAATAACTTTGTCTGAGAGGGGAGGCCTCAATCAGATGGTTGTGGTAGCTTTGATTGGTCCCAAGAAACCTCTAGATGAATTCCTAAGCCTTGGTAAATGTTCTAGGTATGAATTTGATCAAGTTGGTTCTCAGGTGGTGGTCTAGAGCTATGTTAGAGGCTATTTCAGAGAGGACTTTTTGGGGGAATCAGCTTCTTTCACTGTGGGGATGGTGTGTGCACAGTTAATTAAAGTTTGGTTCACTGTGGAGGTGTGGAGAGATCTGTCCTAATTTTGGGGCAAATTTCAGTGAAAAAATTGGCTCTGCGGGGTGGCTATTAGTGGCTGAGAGCAAGGGGATTGCACTTGGGATGGTTTGAAGAAGCTTTGATGAGATTCTGGTAGAGTTTCCTAAAGTTTCCAAGCACACCTCTCTTTGGCTGTGGAGAGCTCCATTTAAAGCCATGGTTGTATGGTAGAGTTCAGAGCTTGGAGTTGGGTGCTAAAGCTTGCTGAGGTGGAGGGAAGAAAAGCTCTAATGGCCAATGGCGAGCTAAGTCAAGGAGGTTCAATATTGTGTTTTATCCACTTGGGGCTCCCTTGGGCTGGCGGCTGCCGGCAGCTGAGGAGGTGGCTGGCTAGAGTATGGTCACTTCTTGGCTCAGGGAGGTCAGAGAGTTGCTAATGATGGTTAACTTCTAAGGGTAAGTGATGATGAAGGAGATATTTCAAGTTTAGGCCAAATATGGGGTAAAATCCCTTAAATTAAGGGACCATTGGTCTGTAGCTCACTTTGGCTGGTTTAGGTGGGTTTATTCTAGTCCATAGAGTGTGCTTAGTGGCTGTGGAGACCTTAATTTGGTGACTTTAGGATGGCTAAGTCAATTTTGGTACATGGGTCCGGGTCTCTTTGGGTCCAAATGGCCAAAAATTTGGTTTAGGTTAGGCTAGACATGACTTTGAGCCCAATTGATTGATCAACATTGTGTAGATGATTGTTATGAAGATTTTTGGTGAAGGATTGAAATGAGTTTGAGTCCAATTGGAGGCTTAATTAGAAGGATTTTGGGATTTTGGTCAATTTGGGCATGTTAGACTAGACTTGGGTCTAGATTGGGCTAAGATTGGGTGAGGTTCAAAATTATTATTTAAAATAGTGTATATGAATGTCATGAAGTGTTTTCAACATAAATTGGGTGCCAATTTTAGGATTAAGGCATTCAATTAGGTGTATTTCGGTGACAACCAATTTGGGGTAAATTTGGGAATTTTTAGATTTGGGTTGAAATTAAATGAAATTAAGGCTTCACCAAGGCCAATTGAAAGTTCAATTTGATGTGTAGTATTGTTATGAGGGGTTTAGGATGTAAATTGGGGCAAATTAAGTAGGCTATGGAGTTCAATTACGTGGGATTAAGTCATAGGGCCAAAATTGGGAGTTTGATATAGATCTAGATTGAGCTCAAAACATGGGCCAATTAGGCTTTGATTTGGTTTATATTGGTCATATGAAAGGCTAATTTGAGTTTATAATTGAAATTGTGGGAAATTGGAACCAAATTGGAACCAAATTAATGGACATTTAAGGCGAATTCAATGAAATTGGGCCTTTAAAAGCAATTTGGGGGTTTTGGTCAAAATGGTTAAATTGGCCAACTTGGGTTCAACTGGAGGTTTTAAATTGGTTTTGGAAATATTTGGAGTGATTTTAGAGGTTTTGGGAAAGTTTGGGGTGCCAATGGTATATTTGTAATTTTGACAATTTTGGGGGTATTTTGGTAATTTTAACAATTTTTGGGGTATTTTGGTAATTTTAGAAATTTTGGGTGTTTTTGGGTAATTTGGGTATTTGAAAATGGTTTGAAATGATTTTTGAACTTGGATATTTTTGGGTGAAATTAGGATTTTTGGCCAAGTTTGGGATTTGGGGGTGTTTAGGTAATTTGGGTAAGTTTTGGGGTAAAAGGTCAAATTGGGTGTTTTTGGTAGAATTGGGGTGTGAATCACCATAAATGAGCTATGGACCAATGAGATCCCCATTTGGGTCTTCTATGTACTAGTCTTAGTTAAACCCTAGCTTAAGGCTAGTGGATCTAGGGGATCATCTGCATGAGTCTCCCAAAAGATCAAGGGGTCATAGTCAACATTTTTGGATTTTAAGATTGTGAGTGAATATAGGTGATAGTGAGTATAGTGAGTGAACAAGCTCCAGACCAACACCTAGGGTCAACCCTAAGGTCAAATAATTATATGGGGACTCTTCTTGAGATCCTCTATACTGACCCCATCCAATGGCTAGACCATAGGTTACTAAAGAGGAAGAACTAAACCTCAACCAAAATTAAGGTCAATAGGATCCTTCATGTGCTGGTCTTAGTCAAACTCTAGCCTATATGGCTAATCGTTTCAGAGGCTATCCACAAAAGTTTTCAAAGAAAGTAAGGGATCCACTAGGCATATCTGGTTAAGGGTTAAGGTTGTGAGTGCAAGTGAGGGGTATCAAGTGCATGTGTGTGAGAGACTGACCAAGACCACATAACCCAGGGTCCTCCCTAAGGCCAAACAGCCCTATGGGGACTCCTCTTGAGCTCCCCCATATTGGCTCCACCTACTAAGTGCTAGAGGTTAGAACCAACATCTGTGAAACTTCAAGATTAGTAAAGAAGAGTTTTGAATTTCTAAATGTGAGGGTTCCATCACTAGTCCTCTAGGAATAATCAACATGAAAGTCCTATGGACGGAAAAGTCCTATGGCTAGATCCCAGGCTTCTAAGGAAGAAACTAGGCCTCCACCAAAAGTGAGGTCAACAGTAAAATATCAAAAATGCCCTAATACGGACCTATTTAATGTAAGGGCAAAATTATAATATTGCCATTTTGCCCTCTCCTTTATATATAGGGGAATAATTTTATGAATATTATGGGATTGATTATTGTACATTCTTGTCCTTTTGTCTCTCTCACACTTATTTATCATTATTTGCACTCTATTCCTTATGCGTGTTTTACAGACAAATCTGTATTTAACACTGAATAAATTTTAATAATATGTTTTTTATTTTTTATTTAAGTTATGGATACATTAAATAATGAAAGAAGAACATATGTTGTGATATCTTCAAAGAAAAAGAAACACAAAATTGAAAGAGACATTTATATACCTACCACCTATATTTCTTTAGTTTTTATATAACTGAAACAAAAACTTTTTTATATTTATACGACACAAAATTTTCATATCATATTAAAAAAGTTTACTATGTTCACAGCTAACATGTATGAAAATTTTTAAATTTAGGTGCTTGATATGTAAATACATAAGAATTAAGTGGTATTAATGTAAATTTCTCCAAATAAAAATAAGAAAATAAAAATTACTTTGGGGAGGTCCAACTATGGGTTTGGCAATAACAACGAAGTCGTAAAGTCGTTGGAGTGATGGCGGAGGGAGGGGGCATCGGTAGAGGTAGAGGTGGAGGTGGTAATTATGATTTTGTGTTTTTGTTTACGTGTTGAAAAACAGAAACGTAGTAAATTTTACAAAAAAAGAAAAAAAATTATTTAATGTTGAAACAAAAAAAGAGTAAACAAAAAAATAATAATAAAAAAAATTATTTAATGTTAAAACAAAAACAGAATAAACAAAAAAAATAAAAGTAAAAAACTGCAAATCACCTAATTGCTTCTTAACCTCTCATTTTATGTCGATTACCTTCCGAGATTTGTTCTCTCTCCCAGTATTACTGATGCAATAGTGATAGTAAAAACAAGAGCCAAAGGGGAGAACGCAGCTACAAAAAATGGGCCCTTCTTATCATTGCACCAGCTTTGCAAATATAGTGCAAGACCAGCAATAAAGACACCCTGTAGAATTTTCATTACAGTTCATAAATCAAACAGTTTTAAAACCATTGCTAAGGATTCAAATATTTATTAGAGCCTACTGAAGATGTTATAAATGTTTATGAACTTTACATTGTAGGCCACTGCAAGTAATCCTTCATCCCAGCGCAGCTTCCATTTCTTAAAATTACTTTCAAAGATGAAAGCAACAAGAAAACACTGAAAAGCGCTGAATAAAGATATTAGAGTAGCTAAGAGAAGCTTGGAAGGATATTCTTTGATTATGATCCCCTATAAAGTAATGTAAGCTTTATGCGACTCTTAGAAGGCAGATTAGGTTTAATTAAGAGATTAGGAAGAAAAAAAACCTGCAGAACTGTCCATAAAGCCCAGAAAATGGCCACCACGAACACAAGAAAAGAACCTAAAATCCATGATAGCCGACTTTCAGTGGAGTAATTGTGGTTGCCACTGCTTTGGAGAAATGGCTGATGAAAGTTCAAAATTTTAAGTTGCGGGCCTTTATACAGTGCTATTAACATTACTCCAGTTACGCATAGTACAAATCCTGAGAGCTTGGCGATCCCCGACATGCTTTTAAGCCGAAAAGTCTCTATCCTAACACAAATATAGGACGATATAATTAGTCAGCCAACCTTATTTTCTGATTCATAGAAATTTATTTGAGATGGAACCAAAAAAAGAAACATGTTTCGGTTCAAGGGGTACGATGCTGAGCTAGCACAAATGAGCTTTGTTTGACAATGAGCTTGGAAAACTTCTTAATATTCACAAATGAGCTTTGTTTCAGATGGAACCAAAAAATTCTTTAGAAGTTTAATGTTTACCTTAGCAGGACAGTTAGTAAAAAGGTGAAAACAGGCATAAGATTCAGAGCTGCAGATGCCACAGTTGCAGATGTGTAATTGACAACTACGCTTTGTAGATTCAAATTTATTGGAAATCTACAGAAAAATAAAAGCCTTAAGCTATAATAAAAACAGAAAATAAAATAAAATAACAAGATTACGAACTTGCACCTCTCTTACCCCAGAAGGGAAAGCATGAAAATCTTCACAAGCATTTTAAATGAAGTCGGCGGTGCTGTTTTCCTGACCATTCATAAATCTTAGTTGTTTAAATCCACGAAATTATAAAGAGATCACAAAGCCCAACAACTATAAGAATGGCTAGTGACCTTGTAAAGATGATGGCCAGTGGCGTTAGAAAAACAGTAGCAACGACTTGTCTATAAAAAACAAAAACAAAGGTACTCATGCCACGATTAAATGCAGTCTTTCCTAACAAATTCATGACTGCCATTAGGAGTTGCACAAATATTATTGCAGAGTAATGCTTCCACGCAGCCATCTTTATCTGGGACTTCGAGCATTTCTTGCAGATTCAGTATATGGAAAACGCGAATCTGAAATATAATTATATAGAAGTTTAGCAGAAAAGAAAAACAACTGTAGATAAACCCACGATGATGATAAAAATGAATGTACAAAGTTTGCAAGTTATTGGAGAGAAAAAGATCTTTATCTAAAGAATTGCGGAAAAGTCGCACCCACTAACCTGGCCTTGCATAAAATAGCTGCTTTTTGTTAGATTTTTCATATCTGCAATGAGATTCGAAAGTAAAGATTATGAAACGACTCCGAGTGTTAGTATTTGATTATCAGTAATGGGTGAGAAAGAGGAAGCCAAAGTTGAAAGTAACTTGTTTTTTGCTGGCTTAAGATTTTATTTTTCTTTTTATTGGCCTAGGAATTAATATTACCTGAATATTTAATTAGATAAAAAGTGTTTGATCGACATCTCATTAAAAAATTACCAATTAACACGCTGAGAAAAAAACAAATACATAGAATACAACTAGCGGAGTTTTTAGAAGTTTAGAGAACAATAAAATAAGTTCTTTGAAAGTTAGTATGTTGTTTTTTTTTTTGGAAGATTTATTTACTTACCACACAATTCCTACGTATTTACAATTCTAACACCTAAACCTAAATTTTTACTCAATTCCACCTTACATGTTGTTGTGTGCTTCTAAATTCACAAGAGTGATATATTAACGTCTTATTATTGTTTGAAGTTCCAATACACATCTAAAAAGAAATTAACATAAAAGAGAACAATAGTTTTTATGTGAAAACCCTAATGAGAAAAAAACTACAGGAGTTAGCCAAGTTGAAATGATTCCACTAAGCCAATGTAAGTTACAAGACTGTACCAACCAAAGAATAGTTATAAGCAATATTACATAAATGGGATATGACTTTTTTTAGAAAAGTAGCAAAAAAGACGAAGGAAGTACGTGATGGTGACCCAGCTGCCATGAAGAAAAGCATCGATGGGGGTTGTGTGTCAAAAATTTGTTGTCAGTGTCTTCAATAAAAGCGGCTATGCAGAGATGGCCTGGAACCAACAACGGTTGTTCAACAGTGGTAATGGCTAGACGACAATGGCCGAGGAGTGGTGAACCAACGGTGGTGGTAGTTTGATGGCGGAGGCTGGAAAACGATGCTCTAATAATGTTTGAGGTTTGATAGTGGTGATAAAGAAATAATGGAAATGGCGATTTGTTGGAGGTGGCTGGGTAAGAATGGTTAGGCAGCAGCTTTTTGGTGGTGTGATTGAGAAATGGTGACAATATTCCAAAGGTGGTGGCATCTCGATGGCAGCAGCCAAGCAGCGACAGTCTAACAGTGGAGGTTGTCAGTTGATGATGATTGTCAAGAAGTGACGGTGGTCACGTGGATGCGACAACTCAATCACAGAGGCTAGGTAGTTGTGGTTTGGCGGTAGCAGTGATTGGTCTATTCTGGCAGCAGCCCATCGACGACGGGGGCAGCCGGTGGGGGGGAGTTCGATTGTGGTGGGG